ATGTGTGTGGGTCTTTCATAGTTAAACCAAGCAATTGTGATTTATTTTCAAAGCCGCGAATTTTTCTTATAATTTGGCGCTGGGGTTTGTTATAAATGTGCTAGAAATGCATGTTCACAAAAATATGATCACAGATTACTTCAACAAAGCATCTCTGATCATCAATAATTTCACAGATATGAAACTCACTACGCAGAAGAAATTCCAGTACTGTCATGTTGTAAATTTTAAATTTACAAGGGGGAGGTAAATGCAAAATTTACAACAAGACAACTCAAATGTCATGTTGTAAATTTTGTATTTACCTCACCCTAGTAAATTCAAAATTTACAACATGACAGCACTATATAGTAAACCTAATCCTAATGGGGAAGAGTTCCTATATAGTAGATTTTTCGGGAGGCGGGGGGTGGGGGCTATTTTACTAATGGGGGAGGTTTACTTTATGACACCGTCTCAAGGGTGTGTCATTAGGGGTTGTTGTTTTACAAACGATATAGTGGTGAAAATTCTCCAGTCGACAATGCTTATGTCAACATTTATACCTAACTACATGTATCACCACAATTATATATAGATTCAAAATTATTCCAAATATATAAAATTAGAGTCAAAGGAGGGAGGGGATAAGATTGAAGGCTTTATTTTCAAAAGTAATCAAAAGACTGTCAAAAGAAATAGGGCTATTAAAAATGTATATAGGTTTTCTATGCATCCAATTTCATCAAAACATGAACCCTTTACTTGGTTCGTGAAATAGGTGTGAACAACCTGGTCACAAATTTATGATTCCGAACATTAGAGCAAACATTATAAAAAAGGTATAAGAATTATTCCATTCAGCTTACTTTCTCAAATTTCTGTTATAAAATTTGTATCAGTGAAAGTGTGAATTTTACCCAGATCTCTAGTTTAGTCTTGTGAAAATCCACTTTGAAATGCTGATGCTCATTGCAATATTAATACACAGTGCAATGCAGCGAATTTAGATAACAAAATAAAATTCTAATAATGTAATACATTTTTATCGAATTTATGTGTACAAACAATTGTGTCAATTTTCGAATATTGTTATTTTTTTAATCGAAAACAATTAAATAATTGAAATGCATAGATGATACTACAGGAGAAGGGGGGGGGTCTATACCCAATAAATAAAGATCAGTCTCAGAAATTTAATTTTTGACAACAGAAATAAGTAAATAAAATAATAATAATAATAATAAGCCAATTTTCTTCTTATATACAATCTTACCAACTTTCCGAGGTGTTCATGTTGTCAAGCACATGTTAGCGTTGATGTTAAAAACGTGCAAATACCTGATATTCCTCTTCATCCTCCCATTAAACTGTAGACAATGTCATTTTTTAGACACTGTGGTATTTTTTTTTAAAATAAAATCTGAAACATTATTCAGGCATATGCAAATTCAGTTGAAACACTGAAGAAAAATTAAATTACCAAAAATTTCTTGTGTAACAACCTACCCACCTAACTTCATCCTAGCAACGTCAAGGGTCCTGAGTCAACGCGTTACCGTTGGACCACAGCAAACTGCATGTAGACTGCAAATTTCTGGGTAAGAAAAAAAAGTTCTACTTTCCCATTTTCCGTTCGCTCATCGTTCGTTCATGGCGTGTATTCAGGGTGCGCTAACCGTTCGCTCTCCGTTCACAGTTTTGCGTTTATCGTTCACCTACCGCTCGCGTTCACCGTTCACAAAGCGTTCAGCGTTCGCTCTCCGTTCGCTCATCTTGCGTTCACCCTTGATCACCGTTCGTTCAGCGTTCGCTAATCGTTCAGCCTTCATTCTCATTCAGAACTCCATTCGATCTCTAGTGACGACAAAATAAAGAAGGAACGTGTGCGCAAGGGTGGAAGGAAACCTTCATATAACATCTGGAATATAATTATGAACTATTTAAGCATCTACACTATCTACAGTGAAAATTCAAAGAAAAATGCAATCTACTCACCAATTTCTCTATACAAGGCATACGAAATTTCATAATTATCCCAGTAATATTGAGATTTGTGTACACATATACTTACATATATAATAGCAATGTGATATGCTATGCATGTAATCAGACATAAATAACATTATTATCTACTGAATTCTTTGATTCTGATGTGTAAATTTTAAACATATATTTTATCTTAAGAAAAAGTGTTTTATTAGACAAAACTAAATAATAAATTAAATGAATATTAAGTAATTATTAATCAGTTTCTATTTATACTGCCCATAATGTAAAGCTCACTTTATTAATTACGATGAACGCAACCTTTAATTTTCCCCCGGGGAAGGTTTGCTACAAGCAAACATCCCCCGTGCATAGAAAATCATTCCCCTGACATTTTGTTATAAAGCAAAGGTACCCCCTTTGTTGGGATAATTTTTTTATAATTCGGAATTCGGTGGTGAAAATTCTCCAAATCGACAATGCTAATGTCTACATTTATACCTAACTATCACCACAATCAAATATAGATTCAAAATTGTTCGAGATATATAAAATAAGTGTCAAAGGAGGGTGGGGGATAAGATTGAAGGCTTTATTTTCAAAAGTAATCAATAGACTGTCAAAAGAAATAGGGCTATTAAATATGTATAAAAGTTTTCTATGCATGCAATTTCATCAAAACACGAACCCTTTACTTGGTCTGTGACATAGACATTATAAAAAAAGGTATAAGAATTATTCTATTTAGCTTACTTTCTCAAATTTCTGTTATAAAATTTGTATAAGTGAAAGTGTGAATTTTACCCTGATCTCTAGTTTGATCTTGTAAAAATTCATTTTGGTGTGACAATGAAATGCTGATGCTCATTGCAATATTTATATACACAGCGCAATGCAGCGAATTTCGATAACAAAATAAAATTCTAATAATGTAACTATGGCATGTCAAACGTTGCAATATGTTATCTTTTCCGTTTATATTGTATATTTTTTCATTTGTATTGTATAATTCTTATTTGTATTCTATAATTTTCCATTTGTATTCTATAATTTTCCATTTGTATTCTATAATTATCATTTGTATTGTATAATTTTACATTTGAATTGTATAATTTTTATTTGTATTCTATACTTTTCCATTTGTATTCTAAAATTTTCCATTTGAATTGTATAACTTTTTATTTGTATTCTAATTTCTTATTTGTATTGTATAATTTTTTATTTGTATTCGATGATTTTTCATTTGTATTCGATAATTTATCATTTGTATTCTGATATCAAAAAAAAAAAAAAAAAAAGAAACTCCTATTTAAAAATACTCCAGTTTTGTTTCATAAAAATATAGTAACTTAAAACAAAAGTCCATAGGTCTGGAATTGACAATATTTCGTTATCAACTAAGTATATATTTGGCATTCAAAGTATGAGACTCTTTTGAACTGCTTATGACAAGAAATTGAAATAATCACACATAAAACATTTGTTTGTTTGTTTTTATTTACATGTATTTAATTTTTTTGTATATGTTTTATTGTTCTTTTTTAATCAGAAAATACCTTTAGACTTTTTACTTAACGGAAAAAATATCAAGCAAGATTTTGGCGGAAATTTTAATTAATTCAAGTCACAAAAAGTTAGTTAGAACCCCCCCTCCCCCCTTTGATTTAGCTCGCCTCCCCAATATCAAATACTTGCGGACGCCTCTGGATGTCACATCGTCAGAACCCACGACTTTTCTCTCCGTTACACTTCATTCAACGTTGAATGTAGTGTAAAGGCCGTGTCACACTATCACGATTTATGCTACGATTAGACACGAATTAAAGTCATATATGGCGTATTTTTGATAAATTCAGACTAAAATTAAAAAAAGATCTTTCTATTTCTTTTATTACTTTCTATAAAGATAGGACTTTCCTGTAAATTACAAAATTTAATTCAATCGCATTTCATAGATATTAGAAATTTAAAACCATAACCGATTTATTTACCGACTCCGCATTTAAATATCAAGCACAGGTTAAAGTCAATTTGACAATAGAATCGTGGGGTTATTCAAGTTAAATTAAAACCGGTGAAAATTTTAATTTGAACGTAAATAACAAATATCATGTTCATCTACACTCAATCTCGTATTTTTATTTTTTAGCTCCGATACGCCATATATAGCTTTAAAATAAAAGTTGAAAAAAAAGTTGAAAATTGCCTTTCATCGCCAGGTTAGTCCTGTGATTTTTCCATAGCGTGTGGAAGTTTTTGCTGCGAGAACGGGGTGTCTACAATGTATGAGGTTTGTACGATTTAAGTACGAACTGAGGCGACAGCATTACGAACTGATTACGATATTTCCACGATTATGAGAAAAGCCGTCGGTTCCGACGATGATTGATCAATTGATCATATAAAATGTAATTTAATTGAATGTTGATTATCCCTATCTTGTCAAATTAACAATACCTGATACAATACTATACCATGATAATTTCTGTATTTTTTAATTTTTAAATCAAAGCTAATATCTGCATTTTCTTTTTTCATTTAATCATACATTTCCAATCAGGGGCCCAAAAGAAAGGCACAAAAGAGTTGCAATTAATTGTAGAAGGTGAAAGATAAAAAAAGTGGTGCCGGTTAAATTATTGAACAAAATAAATTGCATACAATGTTTATATATATACAGAACTGACAATTAAATGTGTAATTTCCAAGTCAAAATTAAACATTAATACTTTCATAGTTTAATTTAATGATGATTGATAAAATAAAACTTAGCCATTAATTAACATGATTAAAATTTATGTTTCTTTGATTGATTAAGTTTATTCTTTTTTCTCACCGTAAAATAGGACAGTCAGATAACACTACATTCAGCTTACATTTTCACATATCCCTTTTTATCAGTTTATTTCTTTCTATATGCCAACCTTTAATTAATTGTAGCATTATGCTTATCAGATTGAGCGCCCTCTCGTATGGAGCGTGTTCAACAAGGGCGAATAATCCAATCAGTAGTGTTGTAGCAAGACGGAAATGTGACATGCGTTTGGAGCTTGGTCAAGAAACGAGAGACGTTGTGTACATTCATAATATTGATCTGAGAAACATACCATGGCTGTGAAAAGATTATCAAAGGTAAATGTAGTTTCATTGAACGTGTGTGTAAATTACTAGAAAACAATGAGGTAAAACACTGCACATGTGGCGCCTGTATTCCAAGTTTTATAATTCTATTTTTAGGGGTCGAGGTAATCATTCATTTTGATATCAGAGAAAATATTATATATGAGAATTTAAAATATATCAAAAGTAAATTTGATAAAGAATTGATGTTTTATAATTAGTAGTTCTGTACTATTATCGTTTATACATGCAATGTGGTGGTTATAACTGGTTATTATGTTTCCTGGAATAGGCCTATACTGTCGCGACTTCATAGTACTGTTATTTATGTTTACATTTTTACTTCCCTGAGAAAATCAAAGAAAAATATGTTATGGACTAATTCGAATTGTCAATTAAATCTTTCTCTTTTTAAGGAAATACATTTATTGTTTTTAATGGATTGTTTCACTTTCGTTCTTTGATGAGAAACCACGCTCCGAATGACTCATCTTATATACCAGATTTGCCTATTCTATTGTTTTTCAAAACTAATTTTTTTCTTTACAGTTATTTGAATAATTTATGAATGTACAGTACATAATGTACATTTTGTTATCTTTACATCTTATAGAATAGAAAACCCTGTGCATTAAAGCAAACATTTTTAATTCTTTAATTAATTGAAATTATTTTTTAGGAGTTGAAAGATATAACATCAGACCCTCCTGCTGGATGCTCAGCTGGACCAGAGACAGAGGGGGATTGTAAGCTAATTCATTTATCATTTTTACATGCAAGGAACACACAAATAATGTAGTATACACAGAAATTATTATCAGGCTATAGAAATTATTGATTTAGGTACATTGGTGAATAACCAACTCTCCAGTCTTTTTATTTACTTTGAACTTTTTTTTCAGTATTCAATTGGAAAGCATCGATACAAGGACCAGTAAGTTAATAATCATAAAAATTTATAAATCTATTTGTCATACTTGTAGAGTTGCCTAAAGTCCTGAAGAAGGATTACTTTTTTACAGTAAAACTTATCTAATCTGGATGTTGTGTATTTCGAAATCTTGTCTAATACAACTTTAACTTTAAGTACTCCATTTCAGTAAATTCAATTGATTATTACCGGGTATGTTGTCTATCCAGAATGTTGTCTGATTCGGCCAATTTTTATGGAATCAGTTGTGTCCAGATTATACAAGTTTCGCTGTATATCTAATTAAAAAAAATGTGAAGCAAATACATGTACTGTATTAATTTATAACATTATTTTAACAGGAAGATAGCCCATACCAAGGAGGACTCTATTTTCTAAAAATACAGTTCCCAACTGATTATCCATTTAAACCTCCTAAAGTAAGTCTGTAGAAAAGGAGTTAGTAATTGGAAATTGCCAGACAGATTGTAAATAGAGAGTGCTTTATGTATTTTGACATTAAAGCTAGAGGGAAAAAAAACATTATATCAAATTAGAGTCAGTTAAATTGAAGGATAAATAGTAAGCAACTGATAAAATTTTAGTTAGTCCACTTGTGCACTTGTGGAAGTCTCAACTTTTTTTCATTTCAGCAAGGCTAACAAATAATGTTGTTAGAATGAGGCATCTATTTTTATCATCAAGAAAAATCTTATGAAATTCAACAAATGTATTTATAAGTAAACACATTTTTTAAATAGAATATTAAATTGACATTTTATAGAAAATTTGGTATTCACAGCTTCTTATGCTGTAAAAAGCCAAGCTGTGTTTATAAAAAAAAAAAAATGAAACAAGTCTTTCTTTTATTATCATGTGAAGTTAATTATGGTGGAAAGAAAATATTCTTGATGTCTTTTGTTTTAAACAGGTATCTTTTACAACTAAGATTTACCATCCAAACATTAACAGCAATGGTAGTATTTGTCTGGACATTCTCAGATCTCAGTGGTCACCAGCACTCACTGTATCTAAAGGTCAGTGAATTTATTTCAGCTCAGTGCTTGACCTTCATCCAATCAGGATTAAGGGTCAATATGACAAGCCCTCTGTTTCAGATAGGATTCACATTTAAACAGTTCAAAACAAAATTGCAGCTACTTTTCTTTAACTTTATGTTGTTCTAAGATAATCATAAAACAGAGACATGGATAATTGTAGTGTCATAGTTTTAGATCCAAAAAAAAAAAATGAAGATGAACATGGATTTACTGCAAAGTGAATATTTATGTCTGTTGGTATCTTTTCTTTTGTTTTTGATACACAAATGACTGACTTGTATTTGATTCCCATCCTTTTTGACATGGGGGAAAAAAAAATCTTAAACATTTTCTTTTTTTGCCTGTGTAGCTGGGCAAGAAACATTAGTATCACTGTATCTGGTGTCTGTCTGTCCGTCCATCTCTCTCTCTCTCTGGGAGGAATCATGCACTAAAATAGCAAAGAAATACAATGTATATCAATATATACACACACACAGTGTGGCACAGTGGTTAGAGCATATGCTCTAGAGTTGGCGAGTAAGGAGTTGATCCTTATGTCAAGGGTTCACATCCACTGTACAATAAGGAGACTGGTCCTACTGATGAGACTGTATGAACCGAGGTCCCATGTCACAGTAGGTGCAGATGTCTTTCTAAATTTACAATATTACTATGGATTACCTGCAGGCAACACTTGTTCCTTGAACACTCTAGTTCTAGCAAGTGAACCTATTCTTAAATTCTTGTTGACCATACATTCAATTTTACCTCCCCCTCCCACCACCAAATCACAATCACTCTGGATATCAATCCCTCAATCCTCTCTTTTACAGTCCTTTTGTCCATAAATGCTTTGATGACAGACCCAAACCCTGATGACCCACTAATGCCAGAAATAGCAAGGATCTACAAGACAGACCAAGCCAAGTACAACAAAATGGCTAGAGAGTGGACCAAAAAATATGCCAGTTAATGGAAAATGGACTAGTACAGCTCAGCTGCCTAGGACATAGACTTTGAACTGTGATATGAAAAAAACAAGCTTGTGGAAGATTGAAAGTATTTGTGTAGTCTTTTATATTAAGTACTCAAAGTAACAGTGTTTACTTTAAAAGCATGGTTATGTGTTGTCTTTTATTTGAAAGTAATCATTTCATTTGTTCCCACACTTTTCACTGATTTGCATGATTGACTTTCATGTGAACTTTAACTGATTCTTTTTTTTTTAATTTATTTGTTTTTGTTTTTAAGAAAAAAAGTGTTGCAATTTGTATATCTTTTTGTGCATTTTTGCAGAGTACCAAGATTTTCCTTAAAATTTTGTTCAGAAAGTACGAGTATTTTGATTGACAGAACTGTGAAATGTTATATTTGAGATCATGTGATTTGCATATTTTTTTTAATGTCGATTTGTTTTTACAGGTTTGCTGCAGTTTTGAATAAGCAATCAGGAATTTTTTGTTATTTGCTAAAGAAAAATTAATTTCATCATTTTTGCATAATACTGGTACTTAAATTATTCTCCTTTTGTGTGTGTGTTTGTATGTGTACAAATTGTTTGGAGTGCTTGGTTTTTTTTTTTTTTAGCCATGTTGATATAATTTATTGGCACTGTGAAAGAAATTGATACACTGATGTATGAAGATCATATTATGCTTGACTTTTCCTTTTCATGCTCAAGTTAGGAAAACAGATGAGTGTATATCTCTCAAAAGTTGATATGGCCCAGTATTGATTTCTGTCGATGTTTTCAGCAGAGAGAGAAAGACAGGGCCTTCTTAGCTTGAGTTCCAAGCAACAAATTTTTGGATATAGGAATGCAATTTAAAAAAGAGCAGATTCACCATTAAATTACTGTAGTTCTTTATGAATAAAAAATCTATATTCAATATACAAGAATCGGGGGGGGGGGGGGGGGGGGGGGGATAAACTCTTCAGAACAAACGAACAACCTGAATATACGGGTACATGTAATGTTGAAGACCCCCCCCCCCTTTTTTTGATAATAATGAGAATCCCAGAATTAACCCTTCAGGTAAATGTTTCAATATATATTGATTGAATTTTGTCCACAGCATCAATACTTAATGTACAACAACATTTTTGGTACAAGAATTTAATTATGATTCTGAGGAAAACTAGCATGTTAGTAGATCTTTGTGTGATACATTCATCAACACTTTGCTGAAGTTCTGAAATCCTTTGTTGTCATAATTAACTTCATTAAAAGTCATCAACTGAACAAAGTGTTAGAGTTTTATTTTTCATTTATTTATATACATGTATAACTTATATTTGAAGATATTTATGGATTTAATATTTTGATTTAAAAAAAGATGAATTGCATGTAGAAAGTAAACTAAAATACCATTAAGGTGAACATGCTACAAGTTCAGGAGCCATTACTGAGAATTTCTTGTGTGCATATTTATTAATCCCACTTCTTTTCTTCGAATGCAAATTTCTTGGTAAATGTTATGGCAGTGACGGATTTCCCGTTGATGTTGGAAACGACATGTTCTTTGCGTACAATAAAGTCATCCAAAGCCTTGAACAACCTCTCTTCAAACTCTACCATAGAAACTGTGGAGAAATTAGCCATTTCTACTTCTACCGTTGGTCTTTTCTTGTATTTCAGAAACGAAAATTTTTTCAACTTCCCAATGACAAACTCGGGTTCAGTCTTCTTGATTGTCTGCTTTTGCATGAGTCTCTCAAAAATAGATTTTCTACCTTTGCCCTTGGAGCCTTTCGGTGTTGTGAGAGCGTCTATGGTTTTCTGAACACGATAATACTTTTTAAGAATTTCGTAAAAGGCAGGTTTCTTCTTCTTCCCGCCTTTCGAACTTTTAAGTTTTTCAAAACTGTATCGGAAGTTGAGTTTCTTAGTGTCAAAACAAGTGGAGACTGTTGTATCATCTTCTTCAGATGTATCCGATTCTATGTACGATGGCGCTAGATTTGCTTTCCCCCTACTCTTTTTTCCTGAAGTAGACTTAGCTTTGGCTACCGACTTCTTTGACCCCGGTTTGCTCTCCTTCTTTCGAACCGACTTCTTCACGACGACTGATTTAAATTCCCTAGGTGAAGCACGAGACGGCGGTGACACGGCTTTGCCAATGGGAGAAACGACCTCAGATTTGACAGAGAGGTTACAAGACTGACCGGAAGGCGATGTTAAGACGATATCTGGAATAGTGCTGGGGGAATCGGGGGATGCTGTTTTAGGAGAGACAGGGGATATTGAAACCGACTTGGCTTTACTCTTTTTACGATCTTTACTTGGTTTCTTCTTTCCGCTATGATTTAGAACATGATTCTCGCACTCCCTGGAATCTGTCACACCCCTTACTTTCGTTGCCATTTCACCAATAGTGTCTTCAAACGTTTGAATGTTTGTGATAACAGGTTTTCCCTGTTTTGGCACGGCAATAGCAGATGATGCAGCATGCATCATATGTGATCGGCTTTTGGTTTCTTTGGCTTCTTTCTTTCCACCGCTGCCAAGTTTACCCAATATTTCAAACCTCTTCTTCAAGTTGGTGTTGAGTTCGGCTGTTTCCAAATTACGCTGATGTAAGGCATCTTTTGTAAGATTGTATCTGTTGGCTACCCTTTTACTTAATTGTTTTGAGCGGCGGTAGCGTGGATCACATCGATCTTCAGATTCCAAAATGGTTACTAACCTTTCAAAACTTGGAACTTCTTGTATCAAAAATTTAAACTTAAACGCTGGTCTATCGGTATTTGTTTTATCTAGCTGAATATGATCGATATCAAAACTCGGCATGGGAGGAAGACACGTGGTCTTTCTATTATTAAAAAACTCTTCTTGTTTCCTCTTTTCTTCTCTTCTTTTTTGCAGCTCTTCTTTGCATCTCGCTAATTTCTTGACCACAGACTCGTGGTCGATTTGAGTTGATGGTTCTCTCACTATATCTGACAAATAAAATTCTTCACCAAATCCGAGATCCTCCTTTTTCAATTCTATTTCCTCGGTGATGGTATCCAGATCATCTCCATAAATAATTCTTTCCGTGCATCTAAACTGCTTAAGGTTTATGGGTGGTGGTTGGGTTCTGTAATCGCTGTCGGAGCTTGCACTACTGATCTCTTTTGGAATGATCTCAAATGGTTGACGAATTGCTCTTTTTCCCTTGTCGCCAGATTTTACCCTCTCTGAGCCCTGGCCTCGTTCCCGAGATGCTGACCTTCTTCCTCTTGGCGCCTTTTTATCTGGAGTGGAATGTCTGCGTTTAATGGCCGGTAGATTTCGGGTTAAAACCCTGCCATCAAGGGAGGCTGAAAAGGATTCGTAATTGAAATTTCAAGGTGATGTTTCTATCAGTACATGATCTATGATTAAGTTAGAGTTATTGGTATCACTGTTTATGGACATTAAAAGCAAACTTCATGGCTTTAAAGATGAGTTTAAGGCGGGCATAGATCTAGAGCTAAGTGCTGATCTAAATGGCAGTACACATCTCTTTATTTTTATGTCGATGTACCTATAAAGATATAACTATAAACTAAACAATTTGTTTGATGTCGAAATGTCTCAAAAAAGGAAATGTTATGCAATCATTAACAAAGGGCCTATGAGCTACAACGCTCACCCGAGTCACCATTCTCTTCCTGACAAATAGATTTATACACTTAAACAAATGAAATCTCTAATTGTCGTCTTCAAGTCCATGACTTCATCCATTTTGGCTCATAGTACATTGAGGCTTGATGAACTTCATAATTGGTTGCCTTCTAATTCTTGTGGATAGAGATATATTTCTGTTTAAAACCCCTAATATGGACGCAAAATAGCCCCTGATTTTTCATAAATACTCCTAGGTAAAATATTGACTCTCTAATTTGGCCTCATTCTTGCTGGAGGGGCTTTAGGATTTGCAGGCTTTGCTATTTGTTTCATTAGTTTTACACTGGTATCCCTATGAATGTACAAGTATAATACATCTAAAAGTGACACCATACCCCCCTCCCCCCTGGGGGGGGGGGGGTCATGACTGAACAAAAATGAATCTTCACTACACCAGGATGCTTGCATATCTAATTAAATGACTAATAGTGTCTCTTCTGTACTTAAGAAGAGAATTCTAAAATATTTTCCCAATATTAGATGATTCCCATTTCCTAAACTTTGACCCTCTCCCATCCTAGTTCAAGAAGCCATGATTTGTACAAACTTGATTGGCTACTTATTTATTAAGAATCATTATTCATTTTCACCTTAGTTGTGTCTTTTCTTGCTCAATGGTTCTTGAGAAGAAATTTTTAAAAAGTGAACTAACCATATTTTCACTATTTCTTCATTATTTCCCCTTGAAAAAGGGTATGCTTAATCCTCCATTTGAAGAGAATTGAAATCCTTTCAACCAAAATTTTATGTGCCACGATTGAGTGAATATAGTGCACTGGAAAAAAGTCGAAATGTGGGGGTGGGAAGGGTTATAAAACACACACACTACAGATGGACGCCGGACATTGTTCAATCAGAAAAGCTCATTTTAGCCCTTAGCGAGGTGAACTGAAATAATTTTATAAGACAATAAAATAAAACCTCTTCTGATTAATGGATTGAATTCTTCTTCTCTCTCGCTTGGAGGAGGAGATCGCTGTGGGGTTATTCCAGATGTCGTGGTACTGATTCCTGGATAGGAACTGCAGGTGGATCCATACTGGCGGATAGGTTCAACACGACGGCCATAATAAATGAACTCCAACAGAAGGATTTCTTCTATTTCCCCACAGCCCTACAATTAAACCACGATTTACTAAGTAGTTTTTACTGTGTACCATTTTTGCTAGCCAAAGGTTTCTGATGCGCTCCACTCCTCACAATTTTTGTGAGGTGTGGAACGGATTAGAAACCTTGGCTAGCGAAGACTATGGACTATAGCAGGTATAGTTTCTGCAATGACTCGGCTTGATTTGAAGAAAGAGTGTAGTCTTGTCCAAATTAGATTGCTATGTTGTGTATGTGAGCGGATCAGAGGATCTAATTTTAATTTGATTTCAGGAAAGACAATAAATACAACTAACATAACATTTTCGTGACTACGTATATTCAAGAAATTCTAAAAGTATAATATATCAAACCTTTTCGTTCGCTAATTTATAACATCCTCGCTTTTCTCTTTTGTTTCTGGCAAAAGCAAAGGTACGATGATGAACGATCATTTGTTTCTTTAACAGGATGTGGAGTTTAGTCTGTAATAGGTCGAAGAGTTGACCCTCGAGAATTCTTATCGAACACCCGTGTTCCCATTTGTCAGAATACAGATAGTCCCAAAACTCACCTGCAGAAAGAGAAAAGAGATCAGCATTATTTTTCTGTACAACTAACCATTTATGTTCAATTGAAGTGGGATATTTTAAGGCTCATCGTCCATTTGTTCGGTCATATATCATTATAGTGAATGCATCTAAGTTTAGAAAAGAAAAAAAACGTACATGTAACCTTCATATAATGATTTAGTACTGAGTGTGCATTCATCATTTCATTTAGTTTATGAATACTTGCACGTGTAATTTCAAAAAAAATGTGCATAAATACTTAGTGACAAAACTTGGAATATGTTGAGGAGTATTATCTATAAGCGTCATTATACTTTATTCACTTCCTCTTTCTTCAATGTAGGAAATGGATGACGATTTTAACCAACATTCACTATGACAAGAATTATGTTCCTCCTTTATAAAATTCTTCCTATTTTGTTACAATTTTACCACATACTTGTATATTTAATTCTAGAGTTTTATAACAAAACAAATTGTTGAAATTAGTTTGCTGTATAATAATAAATCGACTGGACTAACCTTATTTGTATTAACAAAATAAATGACAGTTCAATATAAAAACACTTCCATAATTTCCGAATCAAGCACAGTGTGTTTAGAAAATAGGAAATATGTGGAACATCAATATTTTAATTTTGTTTTTCTTACCAACTTGCAGTTCTTGTTCTTTTCGATCTATATCTCCAGAAAAACTGAGTTTTTCACATAAAACCGTTGATTGTTGAGGTTGGATAAATTCGCTTGGATCAGTTTCATCTTTCTTCTTCTTCTCCAAAAAGGGATTGATCTTAAACCATAACCGTTTAACGTTATAATTCAACACATTGCGTGCTTGGCTGTAAAAGAGATCGTGTCGTTCTTTATTCGACATTTTTATCCTCTTTTTTTTCCCAACAGCTATTGTTACGTCATAATATGACTGCGCTGACAAACGCAATTGGCCGTGACGTCACAAACACTTTTATACATGTACATGTACCAACGGCATTTTAAAAAAAAAACTAACAGAAACACATTTCTTGCTATGGTTTATTCGTTTCTAAGACAGAAGAGCCTACAACAGAATATTACGAACAGTACATTTTAATTAAAGTTATGCATATATAATATACATTTATCAAATTTACAACATCCCACTCACTTTGAATAACAAGTTTTTTTTCCAGATGTAATTCATCTTAAAATATTTATCCACACAAAAACAACCTGAAAAATACCAGTCACCATCATACTTATATGAAAGTTTCAGTCAAAACACAGGGAAATCTTTGAATTTAGCATTTCTGTTAATAACAAAACTTTTTTTTGCTTTTAAAATGGAATACGTTCAAAGAATATAAGATTAAAGATCAATCTATAAGGCATTAAAAACCATTGTAATGTACAAATGGTTCACTGCTTATGTTATACAATAATCACCTATAGCTGAAACACAAGAATATACCGTCAGACTTTTTCTATGGATATGAAATTGAAAAAAAAAATAAGTACAAAAATTACATGCTTTACTAATATTCATTACCGGTGTTAAATTTGTAAAATGCAGTTTAATTTCACTGCGGTGTACATTCTTGTAACAGAAAGTGCCCCCCCCCCCCCCCGCCCCAATCTTCCAAACAGAATATTTAAATAAATGTTGATAATTAAACTTATAACTCAATTTCCTTAACTCCACATAGTTCTTACCTACATATTTGAAAAGATTATCCAACAATATAACAAATTATGGCACAAATACTTCTGGTCAAACAAATAAAATTTTCTACTATAAGAAAACATAATCTTTTCAAATACCAGCTATGAACTATCCAATTCAAATGCTCTCCTACAATTTCCATGGCATTGGGTGAACCATAAATGAATGGTTTACACTTAATTCAATTTAGGGGTAGGTGGTTAATCTTAAAACAAAATTAAAACAATTAACAAAAAATTTACTTGTGAGCACTTTTTCATTTGAAAATCATCCACTCCAATTAGTTCAGTATAAGAAGCCTGTGTCACTTGAACAAAACTCGCAAGAAATTTTATGTATTACCAGTTTTAATTTCAAGATGGTGAATGATATAATATTTAGAACAGGAAAACAGACAACACATGATAATATTTAAATCACTACATCATATATGTATGTAGAAAAACAAATACTATATCGCTTGTTCATTTAACGTCTCTCTTTCTGATGTACTCCAGCACGTGAAGTTACACTAAAAAATGTGTACCAACTCTCTACTACTAAAACTTAATTCTGTCCAAAACTTTGGTCAAAATCCATTGCTTGCTACTAGTTAAATTTTGCAAGTGCCACATTTTCTTCCCATGACAAGTCATTCAAGTCCCGAAGCACTTTCATTCTCATTCACATTAAAAAAAATATGTAAACATTTCATATGTGCCACATACAGAAATGATGGTAAAACAGGACACTCCAGGCTACAAGCTTTGCTACAATATAATTTTTCAATTCTGAATGAAACCATGCAATAATCAATAAATAAAAGAGTGCATGTATTAGAGACATCAGTGATATTTTTTTCATACGATGCTTATTCAGTACTGCGCACACCATCAATCATCATAATCTTTGTAATTACAACAATACCCTGGGTAAATTGACATTTGATCTTACACTGCTAGCTGAAATCAATAATTTCTAAAACATAAAGAACATCTTATACAGCTGTGACAAAACTTAATTAAAAGAAAAAAAATTCTCACAAGAACTGGAAAGAAAAAAAAAACTTTCTATTAAGAATGAATATTAATAGATATTTGACATTCTTCCTTAAACATATATCACAATAAAGATTCAAATATAAATAAAAACCTGTTAGTCACAAGAAACAGGAAAAAAAGCTTACAAGCATGGTGGGTTTTATTGTACATTGTATTAAAATAATAATATCATTGAAAGGCACAGTACTGATGTTTGTATATAAAAAATAAATTGTGAAATAAAATTAACAAAAATCAAACTGGAAGTTAGCATTTACAACTAATTTAATACTTTGCAAGCATTTAGATAATGAATGTACTTTCTAAATTATGAAATAAAAATCTAAATTTATCTTTTTATTTTAATTATTTTGAACAGGGTTCTTTAATTCAAGAGTTAATATTCAAAGTATGATTAATGAAAAGTGAAAGTCTTCAATTCATAGGTTTAACACTAAATTACCAACACAGTAGTTTATCCCCTATATGTATGTATTTATATTAATTTTCATCAACCAAAACTACACTCAAGAGTGAAATGTCACAAGAAGAAAGTGCAGAAAAAACATTGCAAAAAGGGAACTATAAATACTCTGTATGATCCAAGAACACTATCTGCATTTTCAATACCAAAGTTCATTATAGCACAACACAAAGATAAAGAGAATGCTGTATATATTTAGTACAAGAGTAACAACAAATCTCGAAACATACATATTACTGTACAATGAAAAAAATATAAAAATGGGCCAAAAGTTCTTGAAAAAAAATGCGTTGGCTAGCAAGGTGCACGTTAATAGTAATTACTGTATCAATGTCAAATGACATTCAGTAAATGCTGCAAATGATGTAGTGATGTCACATTCAGTGCTGGAGAATAGCTGATCTGAAACCTATGGTTTATTTGGGGTGAGCTTCCAAGTCTGGACTGCTATCCCATTTCTCATGAGAGACACCTGGTGCAAGGTGAGTAATTTTGACATGCACTGCTTGCTTCTTCTCCATCTTGGGGGGTATCAAGATATCCTTGTAAGTAACTTCATCGCCAGGTTTTGGGACATACTCACCCTCAATACTGCAAAAGAAAAATTTATTAGTTAGGTTACCTCTTATTTATATAATAAATGATACTTCATCTCATGTAAGCGAGAAGCTTAAAGATTGTTTTGTAAAACTTTGTGTTTATTCTTGTACAGTTATCAAAAAAAAAAAGTAGACACCTATTAAAGAGATTCAAACTTTGCACCCCACTATACCCCCCCTCCCCCCCCCCCCCCCCACACACACACACAAACACACAACAGACTGGGATGCACAAAAATCAACTCTGGAAGAAACATTATGATTACATTTCACTTTATGAACTGCATGGATACCTCACATACTTACTCAGAAATATGAACAAAGATAGGGTGTTTTCCATCCTCTGGTATAATAAAGCCATGTCCTTTTTGCCTACAAAATTCCTTCACTTTCCCTCTGTAGACTGGTCCAACTTTAGCCCTTTCTGACCTGAAAAAAAACCCATGACAGTGTAAGACCTGACTGGAAAAATTTTAGGTATGCTCATTTTAACATATGCATTTCTCGGTAATATAATACAGTTCTGTTAAATATTCAATAATTTTACACACCTATTACTTATTGTGAATGTTATCATCTTAAAAAATACAAGTAAGTAAAATACAGTTAAACCTCATTATCCCAAACTCAAGATTGGACTGATAAAAACCTATGGGATATCCAACAGTTAAAAAATTGAGGATTAAATACTTAAAGAAAAAGTGCTTGGGACTTCCAAATCACTTCCACATATCCATGGTATTCACGATATGGGTGTTCAAGATATCAAAGTTCAGCTGTATGATTAAAATCAGCTATAGTTGGAATGACTTGACTTTCATTTCTTAGTCACTAAATCTAGAAGAAGTCAAGCACCACAGTTAACATGCAAGTCGAGACAGGATGAAGACTTACTGAGAAAAAGTCCTGTTCCTGCGCGTGGGTACTGGACTGGGAACGAGAAAGTGATGGTGATCGTTCGGTGAGCCAGATATCACTGCATTGTTCATAGCCTGTGTCTGAGGGATGTCTGTCGGGGAACTCATGGCTGACAAAGAAAAATTATCACATTATTATCACATCTTATTTTTTGAGGACAAATTGTTTGTGCATTAAATTGTACTGTTGATAGGCACTAGATTTAGACTTCTTTGTCGATTCTTTTAATGTCTATTTACAAAGAATCAAACATTTACCAATCTTATTGAAAAAAAATTGGATTTATCTGTCGTTGTGTAAAATTTAGTGATAAAACTTCATATTGTGCATGCGGGATATTAAAACTTAAGTCTTAAAGCACATTACCAAGAGCACATTTTTTTTGGGATGATATACCTGAAATACCTTGGCCTTAGCAAGTTTATATCATTGTAAGAATATCATCGAATCATCGTAGAATAAAAAGTGTAAGACTTTTAGTTTTGTATATTGATTTGAAACAGCATCAATAAATCACCAGGTGTCTCTGTGATACAGTTAATCAATCTAAAGGCTTACTCTAAGCCTAAGCTAGACATAATTGATGTGCTTTGTTACATATATTAATTGAAAAATTTTCTTATGAAACAAGTATTTTCCTAATATTGATACCACTGAACACAGCATTATCTCATTAAATCAGAATCATACATTAATTTACTGACAAAGATGAGACAGCCCAAAGTATCTTGTCAGACGCCTAAATTAAAATATCAATGCTGATCGACAATTCATATGCTGAATAATGAAGTGTAATAATTATGAAACTTTTGAACACATTCCTGAATCTTTTCTAAAAAGCTGGCAAAACTTTATTTATAAAAAAAAATAACAATATACGGTAAGCTACAGGAACAAAAATTAGTAGAGGTCTATTGATATTATGTTTGTTTCCTGTAATGCTCACCGAATTTAATCTAAATGCTTTTTTAAACAAAATTCGTCGAATCTGAGAGAAAGAAATTGGGATTATTAAATTTTTTTTTTAAATATGGATAAGTTCAGATGAAGGTGTGCTTGTATCATTATCAGATCTTCTTAAAACTATTTATAGTATGGAATAGTTTTAGGAGCAGTCTAATTTACAGTGATTAATATTTACTCTATCAATGGTGACCAAAGATTGGTATTCAAATTGAGCCTTCATTCAGTTAATAATGATGAAATAAAAAAGAATAAGAAAACCAAAACAACTTTTTTTAAACACGGTACAGGAAACATCAACAAATATTTGTTTGACTTGATCAAGTTGATGAATGCAGAATGGTAATACACTAGTAGTTAATTTTTTAATCTCCTGTAGCCCTTTTTCACAAAAAATCTTGAGATTAAGATTAAAATTAGACATCTCTGTGATTTCTTTAATAAAGATAATAATTTTTCATAGATTTTTTTCACAATATATACAACTGTACATGATATATTCTAATGTAATAGAAATATAAAATGTTTTGTGACCCACTATAGCTTTTTTGAAAACTGAATTATTTTTGTCTTTTAATATAGTCATAACATATTTTGTAAAAAAGGTCCACTCTGACATCAATGAACCCAAGAAGACCTTACAAGTAAATAAGCTGCAAAATAACTTAATGAATAGTATACTGAAAAGAGTTCAAGTATTCAAACACTGTGCATACACATTGCACATCACTGCACATGCACCTGACATATAGACTGTGTAACCCTAAAGTCGGGAGGTCATGATGTACAGATTTGTTTTGCACAATGGAAAATCATGAGATTAGATTGATAGTCAATTAGAACTCCTCAGACATCTTAAACACTCAATAATCACAACCTCCTAATTCACTGCAAGTGGAAGGAGAATAATTGCTAATTTAGGACTAACAAAACATTTTGACCAGGTATGCATTGAAGGGAACATCATATCCCTGAACATCTCCCTTATACTGGTGCCTCAATTTGCTTACAGAGTTTTGTTTCTTAAGTATTTTAAATTTTTACATACCAGTATATACCGGTCTCTAAAACTTAAGAAAGACAAAAATTGATATCAGATATCAAAGGTGCGCATGATATGTTTGGAGCTCATGTACTTTTGATGATTTGTTGTGTTTTAAAAATTATGGGGATAGGGTTACACCATGACCATAAATATGTCATGTGCCTGTGCATCCCTGCACTTGTCATGGGTAAAACTATAGAAACTAAAAATTTCATCGGACCCTTTTTATTTCCATAGAATTTGTTTTTCTAAAAAAAAAATTATACAATAAGTAATAAAACAGAAGCTAAAGACGTCAATGCCATGAAATATGCGCTATATTAACCTTTTTTACCTTAACTTATTTTAATGAGGAAATTCGAACTCATCAAGTGTTTTTGTCTTGTTCGCTCCTTATTAGGCTAAAACACTCACTTAAATGTTTTCCAAAAACCCTTATTATACTTAATGACAGAAAACATTTATTAAAAATACTCATTTGGACATTAAAAATGAGTGTAACTTACTTTTTTCTTATCTTCAATATTCCGTGCCAGATCAGAAATTTTGGTAAGTCGTACGTGGTATAGTTTTATTAGAGTCGATCCTTTGTTTATTCTAGGTGCATAGCAACTGGTTAGTGCTTGAGAAAGCAGTTGAATAGTTTACACCACTATAATCATATTTTTATAAATTTATTCTCTTAAAGTTACAATAGAATAATTTGGGTTTAACTTTAATTTAACTTTGAACAAACTTTTTTTTTCTTCATACATCAATATACAACTATCGGAAGTGAGGAAAGCGTCCTGTCTTGAATTGATTTTTTTTTTCACAGCATCACATATAACATACACAGAAGATATTTAGTACATTGGTCAATTTTGTAATTAATCATAGAAAATATATCAACGGGGTCAAATGTGGATAAGTTTTGCGCAAAATCCCCAAAAATATTCGTAGATCTAGTAGTATTAATTAACGTTGGTAATTTAATGTGTTGAAAATATAAAAGCTTATTTAAATTTGTTCACATAGAGACAAGAATTATAGATTTGCTGCAAGGAAGAACAGGGGAGGGGGATGTAAACTATGCGTAGCAAATAGTAGTTGTGAGTGAACATACATTGTATTTTGGGCACCGTTGCACCTATGGAGTTTTCAGGGTTCGTGTTTTTCGCCATATTCACAATAAGTATATTCTTTACATTCTTAACAGGACGTATTGGTTTGATCACTGCACTGTTCATAATCATGGCCGTAGGAACCGGGGGGAGGGCCCCCCGATAATTTTGCCGATATATAGAATACTATAGAAAACATAGCTACTTTATGCTTGTGCCCCCTCAATGACGTCTGATGACTTTTTTTTAACTTGTCAAGGAATTTTTGCAGTTGATAGTGCCCCCGACTGAAAATGTATGGTTGAGCCCCCCCCCCCATAAAATTGCTTTTTTTTTTACTTATCATTCAAGCCCCCTTTTTGTTCATTATGTTCACTGTTCATTACATCCACTTTTTTCATTCTAGCCTCTTTTTTTTGCTTAATGCTCTAAATGTGTGCATTTTTAAAAAAATTTCTCTGAAATTTAAAGACAATCTTGGAGCACAGAAACGAAACAAATTCGGGCTCGTAGAAATTCTGGGGGGGGGGGGGGTAGTATACTATATAGAAAACAAGGTGGGGTTTTTTTTATCCTTTTCAATTTTCAAGAAATTTTTGTTTGGTAGTGCACCTAAAGCTGAAAATGTTTTGTTGCCCCCACCCCCATCCCCACCCCGAAATTGCTTCCCACGAGCATGGAATTTAAAGAATCTCACGAGGTTCCGATGTTGGGCCATCTAACAGGATATTCTTTCAAGTTTATGTTGATGCTGTGGTAGACGACACTAAGATTAACATCTGCATACACAGTCATATGTCATGCCCCATGAGGCCCTAATTTGGAAATACGTTCTATTTTCTTCTATTCTATAGGATCTCAAAAGTGGTCATTCAAATTCACCCCATTAACTATTGTATTTAGTATTTCTCAACTCAAAAACTCAAAAAAAAAAATGCATACCAAAATACATGTACGTATTGGACGGAATAAAGTGCCTCCGCTGTTTACAGGTAGAACGGGATGGGGGGGGGGGGGGAGTGGCGTTGGCGTAAGGTAAACGAGGTAGCTGTGTGACCGAACGGTATAAACGAAGTATACAGGTGTGCCGTATTCCTTATGTCATCCAAGATTAAAAAAAAATGATAAAGGTTTACAGTTTATATTATTCAACAAACAGACGTGTCTTAACCGTGAGTCGGATAGTACATGTATTACAGACTCCTGGCCGCAGGCGAGTAATATAGCAAGCAATTTACCCCTTCCGCTCAGGCTACAAAATCAATAATTATTTCCCTATTCTACATCGTGCGCCTTTAATGTCAAGCCCGCACGGGGGGGGGGGGGTGTTATACACACAACTAAACATTTTCAGTTCGGGGGCACGAACTTATTGGGGAGGGGTTTGCCTCCCGAAACCGACGGGCCTGAATGTAGCATTGCTCATTTGATACCCCGGCAGTGAAGTCGAGGAATACTTGACTTTATTTCAAATGATGATAAAGCTTTTGAAAATGATTTGCAAACACTGGGTAAATAGTGAAAATAATAAGGTTTTCCAAAGAAATTGTCAATCAATATGATATGATATGTTTATTCAATATTTACTTATGCTTTTAAAAACTAGTACACAGAACACAACTAAAGAAGTCTGTAAGCTAATTATATACATAAAAGTTTTAAATTTTAATTTTCTAAATGTGTCCAATAAGTTATATGGTAATCACACACACACACACACATATACATGTGAAAGGTGTCAAACGGGGACAGGGGTTAAAGACTGTCAAAGTGGGGACTTCTTTATTTTTATTATTTCATTGACTTATGACAAAAAATATTAGTCCTCCTAAAACTCTGATGGCGAATATAATGAGAATATGTCAATATCTTTAATTTTAAGCCAAGCACTTTTTACAGCACAAACGGGGACCTATTTCACACTCATTAATATTCACACACCAGTACTTGATTCATTGTATCTAATCGGGGACATTTTCAAAAAAGAATGCAAAATACTCCCTTTTATGCCTTTTTTTCATTAATTACTACCGTTCTCATCACTGATTAGGATTCTTGTCTTCACAGGTACTTGAATGTTTTATATTTTAAATCAAATACTGAGATAACGAACAGTAATAAGCCCCAAAAGTCCACTGAAACCCATAGGCACTCCCCAGCTTAATTGTTAAAAAATATATATCTACTATACTACATGTATAAACATGTTATGTTTATAGTATAGTAGATATATTTTTTTTAACAATTAAGCTGGGGAGTGCCTATGTTGAAAGCGTACAAACCGTGAGCAGGGCATACACGGACGTTAAAAACACTCGAGTTCACTGTACCATGGAGGATATTTGGTCCGCCTCGTTTAAAGGTCGGGGGGTTGGGGGGGGAGGGGGCTAATGCCATAACATATAAGGTCTGCCTTTTATAAGAAAAGGTCCGGCCCGTATAAGAAAAGGTCTGCCTACGTTTAAAGGTCCGGGTAGTGCAAAGGGTTTTAATATTGATTTAAACACATAAAATTAAAGATAGTTTGTACAATATATCTCTAGAGCAGGAATTCTACTCCTTATTTAGTTGCTTTTAGCAGTGCCGTTTATTTTGTTTTAACATTTCCATGCTTGTGGTGTAAAAACTGCATACAAGAATCTCCTTGGACTACAGATGACATTACAAATGTAGTTTTTTTAATTACCTTTATATTTTTATGATCGATGATTTTAGCATTTCAGAAGAAAATCCAGGTTTATATATTAACACTACCCCCTCCCCCTCCCCACCCCCCCACCCCCCCCCCCCAAAAAAAAAGAGAACCCAGACAAGAGATATTAATTATTTTGTTTTGTGTCTTTCTAAAAATTTTTTTAAAATCTTTTTTAAGCTTATTTCTAAATTTATTTTTCTTGTTGGTCACATTTTATTGTGCCTTTTTACGATGTACAGTTATAAAATCTTGGCGGAAAACTCAGATTCATCTAATACTAGAGGCTTTTATGCCCCCTCCCCCAATCCCCTTTAAAAAAAAGTTACACAGTTCAGATTTAATTGTTTGTTTGTATGTTTTTTTTCTCTGTTTCAAAAGTTTTATTCTACGATTTTATGATCGATAATTGAACAATTTCAGAGAAAACTTAAATATTTACAATAAATGATCCCCACCCTATTCCAGAGAGAGAGAGAGAGAGAGAGAGAGAGAGAGAGAGAGGTTAATCAATATAATAAACCACATATAAATTAAATCAAGCCGTTCGTCTAAAATACTTTCAGTCCTGGTGATTTTTCCCAAATGATAATTATGTTCCGGAATTTATTCCTTTTTGGAACAGTTTGGAGGAGCAGTTTCGATTGCACCTTTCCTCGCACACATGACCCGAAGAACTAAATAAAGAAATCATCCTCTCCAGCCGCCACTACACTTCTCACAGGAAGCAGATACACGAGATTTGCTGAAGAAACACTGCATCAATAACGCAAATAATACTTATCGCTGTAATATGATTTTAATCCAGTGATCATTTCGGCACTGAACTCCGTTTTCTCATAAACGAAAGGAAGCCCCCACCCCTCACTCCCTGTCTCCATGTATCTGCTGAAAATGCGACTTTCTTAGACAAAGCGCTCTTCCTTGCAGTGGAAAGCAAGCTCACAGAGTAATCATCTTTACTCCGTCTTTACTGTTTCCTTATTAAAGCAATCCCAGAATCCACAAACTTTTATCATGGTACATGACTTGCAAATGAAGAAAAGTTTTTGACCGTTATATTCTCCATGATAAATAAGTACCTATTCTTAGGAAAATAAGGATTAATTTTTTGAAAAAAAAAAATAATACCAGTGTGTTTATTCCTGCTTGATTATAGCTGACAATTTTGCATAAGTTAAGATAAAATTAAAATTTGATTACACGTATTTTTTTCCGCTACGCAGATAATAGTGCATTACCACAAGAAGTGAATTCGGAATTTGCAGTGTGGTTAGGGTCCATATTTTTTAATGAATAAATACATACAATTTATCAGGATGAAGATTTCTGCAGAGGATAAAGGTGTTCATGATCAAACATAAAATTTAGAGACCAATCATTGGGGGGGGGGATTTCTGCTACTTTCTCTTTTAAGCATACATTTTGTGCACCCCTCCTTCAGGTGTGACGTACATTTTTATATTTAAAAGAAATTAACCTCACGCATTGTCACAACAACACAACTGTATTTTTAAATAAAATTCGATTTCGCGTTATGTAAAGAGTTTTCCATGTGATACATCGTCGGAGACCATAATGGTTTGGATTTAATTCTTTCTTATAACGTTTCAGTCTAATTTCAGATCAATTGAAAAAATATTTATCTCTCAATAAGCGCTGATAATTTATTTTGGTCATTTATGGACATTGGCAAGTCACGGTTATCCGGAGGAAAAAAGTTTAATTCATAGGTTTTTCCACTTATAAAACTGATT